TTTTTTTTTTTTTTTTTTTTTTCCCTTGCAAAATCAGTGCAGAGGTTCATGAATGTTGTTGTCCTTTTATGTTGATGTGAAATTTTTTGTGGTTTGTCATTAATGTAATAGGATTACACCCATTTAGTTGACAATCCATGAAGCTAATTCGAGCACATCATTAGAAAGTCAAATCTACTTATTTTTTTGGAATTTATTTCCCTAGTGGATCCTTTACAAGATTCTTCCGAATACGATGTGGAATTTTTATTTTACATAGGAAGAAACTAAATCCTAAGTTTTCTTTTCTTTTCTTTTCTTTTCTTGTTTTAATATAGTTTTTGAACTCATCATAGAGCCTAGAGAGAGAGCCCTTCACTTTTTTCTACCAAGGACATGCAAGCAAGTGGGTGTTTTTGCAAACCTTTTTGTTCTTCTCTCAGCAATGCCCATGACACTATCTTATCTCCATCACTTCCCCACACTCACAATCTACTTAGGCATGCTATTTTATTCCATATTTGCCTTGACAAGAAAGGAAAAAAAAAAAAAAAGACAGCAAATTGACAACCACACCTTTTACCCTACTACAAGGATTTTTTTTTTCTCGTAGAACTTTCTCTGGTAGGGACTCTCTATCAATAATATTAGTCTGTAATCGTTAAATTTAATTAAAATAATATCAGATTGAGAAAATATGTACAATACACAATTTATAATTATATTGACGATTGAAAGTAAAAAGTTAACGGTAATTTATTTTTTCTAGTCCTACGAGAACAACTCTCTTTTTTTAATGGAAAATTATAGTTTAAAGTTTACTTAGAAATATGTGAACTACATAAACCCCTAGAAACAAATCATCCCACCAATTATTTCCGTCATGTCCTATTCATTATCTTTTTCCATATGCTCTTCTTCTTATCATATTGGAACTAAGTTCTTCCCTTGTGTTTTTTTTTTTTTTTTCTTGTCTTCTTTTATGGAACTCAGTTTTCCAAGCATCAACACTAAATATTCCAAGCCAGGTTCTTGATACCTTGTCTTATTCTGTCCTTTTCTCACAACAGTAGAAATGGCTGGCATCCAATTGTTTTGTTTCATGTTGTTATATGCAGTACTTGGTGCTGTTCTTGTTGATGCTCATGGAGAAAATTCCACTGATTCCTATTGGCTTCTGAGAATCAAATCCGAACTGGACGATCCAAAAGGAGTCATGGAAAGCTGGTCTCTAGATGCTAATGTGTGCACTTGGTATGGCCTGACATGTTCCTATGATCAAGTTGTGGGCTTGAACAGTGTTTAATATTAATTTTCTATTTAAATTGCAATCTAAAATGAATGTATATTTTTAGACCATTTCCAATACAAATAGCAATATCAATGCTATATTTATTATTAAAAAGTATAAAAATGACAATATATTATGTTTTTATTTTGTACTTCAATATATAATGTTATTTCACGTGCTTTACCAATTTTTTTTTATCGTAGTTATTAAGTTTTGAAATTTTTCTATATCATAATTATATAATATATTATCTAATAATAGTTTTTTTGTATTATATTAAATATAATAAAAAATATATATTATATGACATTATAGTATAATATAACATAGTCGTAATTTTTAACTATCCACGGCAATTCAACCTCATAATTTACTAAAAGTTACTATATTGATTTTAGAACCAACATAGCTACTATAATTATGATTTACAAAACACTCAGCTGCATTTTGTAAAAACTGTTTTTTCTTTCAATACAGTTAAAAACAGTTTTTCTAAAATCTACAGTAATACCAAACTAAGCCATCGTCTTCATGTTGCAAATCCACTTTTGACTAATTTTATTTTTCATCTTTTTTTCAAATTTTACGTACTTAAAGATGGAAATTGAAGACAGATATTTATAGCATAAATAACTTACGTTCTCTTTTGTTATTGTTATTGTAACCAAACAAGAAGAAGAAGCAGGAAAAAAAAATCTTGCTTATTGTTGTAAAATGCACACATATATTACCTTAACTAAATGTAATTAGCCATAGGAGATATTCTCAATGTAACAGAAGACACAGATCGCAACTAATTGAATGCAAGGTTTTATTTTAGCTGTTGTTGAATGCAAAGATTCTAATCATCAATAACTAAATATATATCAATGAAATCAGAAATAGGGGGAAGCAATTATCAACTAAGTGGGTGCACCAAGGTGTTCGAAAAAGCTACTGGAAAACCGAGATTCTTGTCCTAGTTTCTAAGAATTTACTACTGCAAATTAATATTATATTGATGTAATTAATGTGATTTGTTTCCTAGAATAGAGGGATATGGGTATTATTCTACCTAGTTTCCTAATTAGATGTTTCCCTTTTAGTTTTCTATTCAGAAGTAGAATGAATAAAATAGATATTCGTCCTCAAAATCTTTAAAGGTTGAGTGCAAACTTCTAGAGGTAACGCAAGACACTTTCTTTAAGGGTTCTTACCATCAAAAGTTTCAAAGCTTAATAAAAAAAATGCATTTTAACTATGTGGCATTATAGAGCAAACCTTCATTAAAAGTTGCTTGACATCTAACACTGTACGTAAACACTCAATGAGATTTTCATCATAGATCCCTAATTTAGCATCTTCTCTTATCTGGAGAAAAAAGTTGATAAAAACCCTAGTGAGTAGTACTATAAGAAGAACTAAAAATGGAAAGCAAAACAGTTCTCCTCACCTGAATAATTCTTTGATTATGATCCAATAAATCAATAATCTATCCATTGTAAATCTGCAAAAAGCAGTTAATGAGTTAATGGAAGAAATTATAAAGTTAAAATAGGTCAATTACACCAAAAATCTACCTCAAAAAAGGAATAGTGACACAGACACTGATACTTGAGTTGTCTATCAGCATTCTTGTTTTGCTCCCATAGAAAAAAATTCTACAAACAGCTTGCAGGAGATATATGATATAAAATTAGATTAGAGCAATACAAAAGACATAATAAATTTACCTCGAGGAGTTAAACTTTATTGATTGATAGAAATGAATTCAATCCAACAATCCTTTGGCCAGACCCCGCAACGTACAAGTCTTTCCCACATCCCGTCTAACAACAATCACTTTTTATATATGTTACGCATATTCTATAACACAACACATAGCAAAAGAAAGGCAAATTCAACATACATGTCCATAGGCAAAAATGGAAATGTTGAAACCTGTCATACAATTTTCTAACAATTTTCAACAAGTGGTGCTCCCATAAGCTGGAAAATATCTAGCAGCAACAGAAAGTTGTGATCAAACTCAATCATTTAAAGCAAACTATTCATTTAAGTATCTGGAGAAACTCACATCTCTGTGAAGGCCTTACGTGCGTTGCCTCTATCAGCAACCGAGTAGAATGTAAAAGTTATCCCATTGATTGTCAAAGAATCATTAGAAATTTTCAGAACTATCATTTCTTCTTCATCCTTTTGCTTTGCACGGTCGCCTCATTCGCACTAATACCTAGAAATCCATAGTAGGAATAATAATAACGAAAATTCTGAGACTAAACATGAAATGAAAAGAAAAGCCACAAATTTTAAAATGTTAGACATCATATCAGTTTCCAATTTGGAAAACAAATAAAGCAGCTAACCAAACAACAATTTATTTGAAAATATGAGAACTCTCCATAATAGAATTCAATTTCCTTATAATCAAGAAATTCAACTCATTTTCAAACTAGAACCAAAAATCCTCTTTAGATTCTAAAGAATTTATACAGAAAGAAATGTCAAATGGGGTAAATCATAACTACAAACTTTTGAGTTCATAAGGAAAACTTATCTTCATCAGTTATAAACAATTTGAAACCTCAAATTTTACAAACAATTTGATTTTTTTTTAGTAGAGAGAAATCCGAACAAATAATGTCGTATTCTATCTAAAGAGCAAGTAAGAATAAATCACGTGATATAAAAAATAACACATAAGATTTATTTAACTGCCGGAAGAAGAAAAGGACATAAAGATCCTGAGATCATGAAGTTGATGGAGACATCATTTTGGACCTGCAAAATATAAAAATATTAGTGATGATATAAAAGAACTAAATTAATCAATTGAAAAAAAAAAAAGAATGAACTTATCTTTTTCTTTTTTAAGATAGGTAGAAGTATCTGTAAATACAGATACAATCCGTGCCAGACAAAGATCCATCCATTAATGTCCTTTTCTTATCCAAGAATCTGATAGGACTCAGAGAAGAATCAATTGAGATTAGAGCTGAATTAGGACTTATTATTATTAATCAAGTAAATTGAAAGACAAATCCTGACCTACAATTCGAGAGGTAGGTCAATCTCTCCAAAACGCCTAACTATTCCTAATAACTTGACAAAACTCAGCATAAACCTAATTACTTGCTAATGCCCTCTTTATACTAAAGCCCTAAATCCATAGAACACTCAAAAGACTAAACTACCCCTGCCCTCTTATTCCCACGTCTAACATAAGTAATTATGGGCCTAACATTACTCCCCTCCCAAAAAGACACCTTGTCCTCAAGGTGGAATTCAGGAAATTGCTGTTGAATTACTTCAAATGGCTCTCATGTTGCCTCGTAATCTGGCAAGTTCTTCCATCTAATCAGCACCTCCTTATTACCTGTTGCTTCCCGGCGCACGCCTTCTAAAGCGGACAGTTCCATCACCACTTCCATATCCTCTGTCAATGTGGGTGGTAACGAAGAATCAAAAGACTAAACTACCCCTGCCCTCTTATTCCCACGTCTAACATAAGTAATTATGGGCCTAACATTACTCCCCTCCCAAAAAGACACCTTGTCCTCAAGGTGGAATTCAGGAAATTGCTGTTGAATTACTTCAAATGGCTCTCATGTTGCCTCGTAATCTGGCAAGTTCTTCCATCTAATCAGCACCTCCTTATTACCTGTTGCTTCCCGGCGCACGCCTTCTAAAGCGGACAGTTCCATCACCACTTCCATATCCTCTGTCAATGTGGGTGGTAACGAAGAAGATGATGTGTGTTCGCCGATCGCCTGACGCAACTGAGATACATGAAAAACTGGATGAATCGCTGAAGAGGGTGGCAACCGCAATCGGTAAGCCACTTCCCTGGTCCTCTTAATCGCCCTCACCATGGTTTTCAGTGACACCAAGGTTCGACACAGACTCGGATCGCCTCTCAGAATTACTGGTTGGTTTCCTACCTTCATACTCAACAGCTTCCAATTCACCTTCATCGCTCCCAACGTTTGAAGCCACTTCATTCTCAAAATCACGTCCGTGCTTCCCAAATCCAGGGGTAGGAAATCGTCTAACACTTGAATTCCTTGGAGCGACAAAATCAACCCCTTGCAGATTCCTCGGCTCGTTTCTAACACTCCGGGTCCCAAGGTCACCCCAAAACTCCCAGTGTCAGTCAACTGGAGCCCTATCTTTTCCACCATGCGGTTGGAAATGAAATTGTGTGTGGCCCCACTGTCAACTAACACTACCACATCCTGCTCTCCAATCCTACCCTTAATCTTCATGGAATGGTTCGGTGTGAACCCCGCCACTGAATTGAGCGACACCTCAGCCACATCTAAATGCAGGTGTTCTTCCTCCATCCACTCTTCTTCTTCAGCTGCTTCTACGCCTTCCTCGTCATCACACACCGTCAAGACTTGTAGTGAACGGTCCTTACATCGGTGCCCTGGGAAAAATTTCTCATCGCCTTGAAAGCACAACCCCTTCGCCCTCTTATCCTGAATCTCTGTCTCAGTGAGGTGCTTGATAGTCCCTCCCGGACGTACCCCACTATCCCGATCCTTTTGGGTCTCTCTCTGAAATCCCAACGTCTGAGTTTTCTGCCCGCCTGGTGGTGCGCTGTTTTGGTATGAAAAGCCAACTGTGTTGCTCCTATTGACCCGCGCCGTTGTATTCTTATCCTCAATCATCTGTGCCAACTCCATCGTCTCCCCTAACCCTCTCGGTCTCAGCAAACGCAGCGCCGCTCGGATCTCCGGCTTCAGTCCCTTCATAAAATTCCCTTCCAACACCGCTTCTGAGATTTCCCCTAAGCGACCCGATAGCAACTCGAACTTCTCCCTATACTCCATGACTGTCTTCCTGGATCGGGGCAAAAAACTGTTCATGTAGATCTCCCTCTTGAGTGGCTCAAAATCGCTGCAGCAGCCGGTCCTTAAATTCACCCCAAGTCCTCAATGGTTGCCGTTGTTCTCGCCATTGAAACCACGCAAGGGCCTCTCCCTCCAAACATAACGCCACCGCTATCAGTTTTTCCCTCTCTGAGAGTCCATTGATGGCGAAATAGCGTTCTACCCTATACACCCATCCATAGGCATCCTCGCCCTCGAAAATGGGCATTTTCAGCTTCCGTACCCTAGAATCCGCCCCAAATTGGGTATGCCCGGTCCAATTTCGCGCCATCGGAGGCCTCCATCCTCCCGATGCTCTTACATTCTCCATAAATCCGGCAGTCCCAGCCCCAACTCCGTCATACCCGCTCCCCCTCTCGCCGGAAATTCCTCCTCCCGGCCATACGCCCCCAAATCCACCCTGCCCGGGTCCGGATCCGCCCTGCCCAGCCCCAGATCCGACCTGCCCAGGTCCCGGATCTCCCCACCACGGCGCTGAAACACCGTGCCCAGCCGTCCCCAGCCCTGGCGCGCCCCATGGCGGCGCCAAAACACCTAATCCCGTCGCCCCCAACCTTAGGCCGCCTCTCCTCCAGCCGCGAATCCTTCAGATCCGCCGCCTCCAGCCACGACCCAGCCTCCTCCGCCGCCCCCAACGCCGGAAAAAGCTCCTCCAAGTCGCGCGTCACCGGGGCCGCCCTCTGCGCCAGAAAATCGGCCGCGTCCCGCCGCCTCTGGCCGCGCCAAATGGGCGGATTCCAACCCTCCTCCCTCTGCGCCATCGCCGACCTCGGGTTCCGTATCTCCCGCCGCGCCGCCGTGGCTCACCGCTGCTACCGGTGGTGGGTTGAGGTGGAGCTCCGTTAATTTCAGCAACATGGCTTCAAGGGATGAAAATTGTTGTTGGACGGTGTTGAATCGCTCGTCGATGGTGGTCTTGAGCGATCCAACCTCCGCTTCTAATATCTCTTCTAGCGCGTCCACTTTTCTCGCTGCCATTGTCCCAGGAATTCGCTCTGATACCAATTTGATAGGACTCAGAGAAGAATCAATTGAGATTAGGGCTGAATTAGGCCTTATTATTATTAATCAAGTAAATTGAAAGACAAATCCTGATCTACAATTCGAGAGGTAGGTCAATCTCTCCAAAACGCCTAACTATTCCTAATAACTTGACAAAACTCAGCATAAACCAACGCCCTCTTTATACTAAGGCCCTAAATCCATAGAACACTCAAAAGACTAAACTGCCATGCCCTCTTATTCCCACGTCTAACATAAGTAATTATGGGCCTAACAGAATCATGAAAGGTAAACCACGATTGGCCTTTAAGAAATAGCAAAATCATAATTAACCAAACCTTTCGGAACAAGAAAAAGAAAAAATTGTAGCAACTGTAGAGAAAAATTGATACCTGGGAGCACCAATAGCATAATTAAGTGTAGAAAACAAGATATATAATAAATAGTAATACAAACAAAAAAATAGAAAAATATAGAGAAAATAAAATGGGACTTATCTTAAAAGAAAGATAACAAGGTTGAAGAGGTCGTGTAAAGTGGCGAATTTCAACTCGGAAAAGACGAACATGTAAATAGAAGAGTGAAAACCCTTCCATTCTTTTTTTGTCCGTACTAAGTGCAGGTCGCCAAAATAATGAAAACAAAGGAGAACGAATAACAAGAGATGTAGTTTACCAAGAAACATATGTATAGCACAATAATAACAAAATTCATCTTCAATTATGAAACTCTCATAAAGAGAGACATAATAATAGATTACTTTTAAACTCTCATAAAGAGAGACTAAAAAAATGAAAAACTTAATAAAATAATTTCTGAAACATAGATTACTTTGAGCAATCGGAAAGCATCTAAAATAGATACAATCCATGGTGGATAGAGATCCAACCATTAATGCTTTTTTCTATCCATGGAACAAACAAGAATAAATCATGTGATATTAACAAATAACACATAGATTTATCAGACTGCCTAGAAGATGAAATAAGGCATGATGAAGTTCAAGAATCAAAAATTATTGAAGACCTCAAATTGGACCTAGAAAAAAATTAAAAATTATAAATAAGGGAATTGAAGCAAAAAACCAGAAATCAATATTAAGTAAGAATAAAGTAAAAATTCCACGCAGTTGTATGAAATGATTGTTGCATAACAGAGATGTTGGAAATGTATAATCCAATAAGGTGAATGCAGCTTCTCTGAGGGAGGAAGCAAAGGAAGGTTGTTTAGACCTTCACTACAAACCTCTATAACTCCTTATTTGAATACATAGAAAATGAAGAACTTAAAAGCAAATATTAACCAGGCTAAATTCTTCGTACACCTATATTTGAATAATAGTTCAATTGAAGTAATAAAATCTTATATATAGTACATAATTAAATCTTAAGAATAAGCTTTTCTTAGGAGATCCTACTTCCTAAGGCATTAGGTTAGCCATACCCAACTGCAAAAAGGTACTGTTGGAGTCTATAAGTCTATATATCTCAATATGGGAGTTTTCACATATAACAATTAAAAAAAAGTTAAAAAGGATTGGTCCCTTGTTTTCAATGAAAAAAGTACACCCCTAAAACCCCGCTTGCTCTTCCTTTCCTTTACTCACTCAAATGTCATGACTGTTATAGGAAGCAAAAACTCTAAATTCCTTGGTTGTTTTTGTCACCATTACTCTGATAGGAAAAGTGAAGTTGATGGGAAAAAGAAAATTCTTATTAAACTATCATGAAATTGTTGGAAAGAACACGTTTTTCCTATTTTAAGAAACCGTGTAATTGATTGTTGTCTTTCTTCTCTTCATTCCGCTTGAATCGTGTCAAAAAACGATCTGAATCTCAAGTAACTGGGGTTCAGCCAACCGAAGACAGCCGCTATGATGCTTGAGAACTGACTAATATTCAGGCAGTGTACAAGCTGAATTGAAGGAACTATTTGAAGTGGTCTCAACTGGTGCATACACACTTAAAGGCCAGAGGAAAGCTGAGCCACTTGCTTGGTACCGGTCCAAAAAGGGGAGATCCGAAGTTCGATGCGTGGGATGAAGAAGATTCGATGGTGATGTCTTGGCTTTGGAACTCTATGTCTCCAGAGATTAGAGATACCTGCATGTTTCTTAATATTGCTAAGGAGATTTGGGATGCAGTCGCACAAACGTACTCAAAGGTTTGAGATGCTGCACAAATCTATGAGATCAAAACTAAAATTGCTACAACAAAACAGGGAAGCCGAATGGTTCCTGAGTATTCCAGTCTATTGCAAAGCCTTTGGCAAGAAATGGATCATTATCAATGCATTCAAATGAAGTACAGTGAGGATGCAGCCACTCTTAAAAGGTTCATTGAAAATGACAAAATTTATGATTTCTTGGCAGGTCTTTAATATGGAATTTGATGCAGTGAGAGTTCAAGTTCTTGGCAAGGAGGATTTCCCATCTCTTAATGAGACAATATCTATAATCCGGGCTAAAGAGAGAGGAGTCATGATTGAAAATGCTTCTGTTGAGAGCTCTGCATTGGTGACAAGAACAACAAGTGAGAAGAATGTCATGTTAAAACAATCTCTTACTGAAGAAAACAAACAGCCATATCAGTCAAAGGCTTTTAACAGAGACAACCTATGGTGCACTTATTGTAAAAAAGCTTGTCACACCAAAGAGAGGTGCTGGAAACTTCATGGTAGGCCGCAAGTTCCCAATAAGAATGGGATAGGAAGAAATGGACAACGGAGAGGACAAAAATGTCAAGTTCATATGGCTGGAGTACAGACTACCGATGACAGCAACAACAACTCGGAAACATCACTGGAGTTCAACAAAGAAGATATTGAGAGATTGAAGAGTTTCTTGGGGACACTAGAGAAGTAATCACCCACGGTGGTAGGTACTTGTAACCTGGCCTTATCAGGTATATCCCCAACCCTTGTGCTCTTATTGCCTCGGATAATGCTATTCATAGTACATGGATAATGAACTCAGAAGCCACAGACCATATGACCTTTTCCTCCACTAAATTTATCTGATATACACCTTGTCCTAGTAATAAGAAAATCACCATAGCCGATGGTTCAGTCAATACTGTTGCGGGTCAGGGAGATATTTTTATTAGTTAATCTCTTACACTTAAAAATGTTCATGTCCCAAAATTATTCACTAATCTTGTGTCTATCCAAAAGCTGACCAAAGATGCTAATTGTAGTGTGATTTTTTATTCCTCTCATTGTGAACTTCAGGAATTAGGTACGAGGAAGATGATTGGACGTGCTAGGGAGAGAGATGGCCTTTACTATCTTGAAGGACCTAGTGAACAACATAAATTTGAGGATGTTTCTTCCCTATCACTCTTCACCGAGTCACCTAAAACCAATAAAGACAAAATATGGCTTCATCAGCGTCGTCTTGGTCATCCATCATTCAAGTTCTTAAAGTCATGTTTCCTTCGTTATTCAATAAAATTACTATCAAAAGCTTTCATTGTGATGTGTGTGAGCTTGCTAAACACAAGCGTTCTATTTTTCCAATAAGCAATAAAAGAACCTTATTTCCATTCACTCTTATTCATAGTGATATTTGGGGGCCTTCTACAGTTCCCAATATTTCTGGAGCTTCTTGGTTTGTTTCATTTATTGAAGATCATACTTGTATGACATGGATTTTCCTCTTAAAAAAAAAATCCGATGTGAGTCTTGTGTTTTCAATGTTTTTTAATATGGTTAAAACCCAATTTGGCATGGGAATCAAACGGTTTCGATCTGACAATGCTAGAGATTATTTCAATCAAACTCTCTCCCCATTCTTTCAACAAAATGGCATTATTCATGAGTCATCTTGCATCAACACCCCTCAACAAAATGGGGTTGCTGAGCGGAAAAATGGCCATCTCTTACATGTCACCCGAGCTTTCCTTTTCCAAAAAAATGTTCCAAAAAAATTATTGGGGAGAAACCGTGTTAACCGTAGCCCACATCATAAATAGATTGCCCACGAGAGTACTTGGTTTTCAGAGTCCTATACAGGTCCTTGCAAAGTTCTATCCTAATTTTAATGTCTCCAATAATCTTGTTCCAAAAATTTTCGGCTGTGTTGCATTTGTGCATGTCCGTTCTCAAAATAGGGGTAAACGTGACCCAAGAGCTACCAAGTGTCTTTGTTGGCTATTCGTCTACTCAAAAGGGTTATAAGTGCTATCATCCTCCCGCTCGAAAATTTTATGTATCTGCAAACGTTATCTTTGTTGAGGACGATCAATACTTTCAGACTCTTTATCTTCAGGGGGATACATCATTCATGGAAGATAAGTTTCTTCTTGAGCTGCCTGTGTCTCAGCCTACAACTGTTCCTGTCCAGCCGGTCCAGTCCGAAACTGTTTCTGTCCAACCTGTCAAGTTCGAAACAAATCCTGTCCAAGCCGAAA